TTTTTTATTTCTCTTAAAATTTCGAGACGAGATCGAGACGGGATTTCCCTTCTCATACACAACGGGAAATGCACGTTCAAAATTTTTACCTGATTTAGTAACATTGTTAGATGACTGTTTAAATACAAAAATAATAATAATAGGCAAGAATATTTACAATCTTTTATCAAAAAACATCAGCATAACATTTTTCACGTCTAACTTATTAAAAATGCCTACGATTAGGAAATATAGTGATATCAGTTAGGATAGAGTTCAACTTATCCTAAAATAAAATAAATCATAAAATAAAAGCAATATTAATTTTTATAAAATAGTTACTTGTTTTAACTTTTTATAGTAATAAAACATTGATCACACTGCTTACACTTAACAAAACTTCTCAAATGTTATTAAAGTAATATTATTAAAATAATTAAAGTAGTATTTACAATTAAAGAATTAATTAAATAAGAACGCCTTTGCAAAGGAAACACAACTACAACACGCTCCTGTATTGCAGGTATTGCATTGACTTTCTGCAGGCGTTTTTAACTTTTTTTTATTTTATTTTATTTTTTTTTTCTCGTCTCGATAAAAATCTCGGCCAAAAAGAAATCTCGTCTCGTGTAACGAGATTTAAAATTTCCCGAAAATTTCCCGAAATTTTGAGACTTGACCATCCCTATTTTAAACTGGCCTTACCAGTGTTACACTGCGCAATGTTTCCGTTTTCTAAGTAAATAAATATTACCACGCTGAACTTTCATCGCCCGTATTTCTTATTTACAGTGTATAAATGTTGATATGTCACTCTAGAATATAATAAATACATTTAAAGTCAATCCAAATCGTCTAAAAACTGAAACATATATTTAGGCCTACATTCGTTAGCCTATTGAGTTTAATGATAATTAAATTTTCCAATCAAAAAGATCATTAGGCCTACTTATACCATTTCGTATAATCGTCCTAAAAATAAAGAGTATATGAGTTTCAAGTGTTATTGGACAATTTTATTAGTTTTCCTCAAATAAAAAGTCCTCAAATTCACAAAAAAATCAATATAAACATAGGTTTTGCAATCCCGTTAATCCCGGGATTAAAAGTCACCAATCCCGGGATTTCTAGGTATCAAAAATCGGCCGGGATCCCGGGATTGAGACCCCTAATTGTTACTTAATACCTAAATTAGCAATAAGAAACATTTAAACAAAATACTATAGGCTACATTATTTTAAATTGAAATTAGGCTACTATAATCTTCTATTTTGTAAGGTGTAAGGTCAAGTAAGAATGCCTTCAGTTTTTTCATAAATTTAGATTTGTCTTTTTCTTTTTTTAAAAAGCTAGGAAGTTTTCTAAAAAAATAGTTTCCAATATAAGAAGGTTTATTTTTTAAAAGTTCAAGTCTTGGTTTTTCTTTAGCTAAATAATTGTTACCCCTTGTATTATAATTATGCACAGGCAATTCTTGATTCTCAGCAATATTTGAAAAATATTTAATTGTTTCAAAAATATATAAGGTGTGAACTGTAAAAATGCCCATCCCTTTATAGCTGGGTTTTCCTAGGAGCGGAGTCGGCGAGCGGAGAGAGGAACGCGGAGAGCGGAATTGAAATTAACATGGCATTCCGCTCCGCTTCTAGGAAAACAGTAACATTAAATTGCCTAAGAGAAGTGGAGTCCGCTCTCCGCATTCCTCTCTCCGCTAGCTGATTCCACGCCTAGGAAAACCTGGCTTTAAATAAGATTTGATGGACTGATTATATTTTAATTTATGTATTATCCTGATTGCTTTTTTTTGTATTTTCAAAATCTATTTTAAATTCTTTTTCTTTGTCCCACCATAAATACTAATTCCATAGTTAATATGTGATTCAATATGAGCATGATATATCATTTTAAGGACTGATCCTTCACAGAGATATGACATTGTTCTTAGGACGAATATACCAGAATTTAGTTTTTTTTATTAAATACTCGACATGTTTATTCCAGCTTCTCATCTATTATCAAACCCAATAGTTTTGAGGTTTTAACTTTGAGCAATGGAATTTGTATCTATATCTAACTTTATACTTTTATCATTTTTGTCTCTTTTTGTTTTGAAAAGAATGAAATTAGTTTTACTAGTATTAAGTAGCCTACTAAATTATGGTATTTTAAAAACTGATTCAGACTTTTTAATTCTGATTTAGCAGACATTTCTAAATCAGTTAGGGATTTCCCAGTTGTGTTAAGATTAATATCATCTGCATATATACTTATCTTACTACCTGGGTCTTTTAGAGAATTTGGAAGATTTTTGAGGTAACATATGAATAAAAGAGGACCAAGAATCGATCCCTGTGGGACATCAGATGATATCTTTGATAAATTAGATTTTGTTTTTTGGATGATGTTATTTTTTGACAAAGTTGATATTTCCACAAATTGGTAACGTTCCTCTAAGTATGATTTAAACCATTTGAGAGTGACTCCTTTAATACCCAAATTATCAAGTTTAGCTATTAATTGATGGTGGTCTACATTATCAAATGCCTGGGACATGTCCATGAAGATGCCAGCTGAATTTAAACCCTTATCTAGTGAATTTATCACAGCTTCAATGAAACTAACCGCTGATGTAACAGTCGATCTACCAGCACGGAAACCATGTTGTTCATTATCAATTAGATCACACTGGTTCAAGAAACTGTTCAACCTGTTGTACACTGCCTTCCCATATACCTTTGATATTGCCGGGAGAATTGACACTGGCCTGTAGTTTGAAATATCTTTCTTAGAGTTTTTCTTATAAACGACCACTCTAGCAATTTTAAGCTCAATTGAAAAAATTCCTGTTACAAATGATGAGTTAATTAGGTGCATTAAAATGAATTTAATCTCCTCTTTCACCTCTTTTAACATTTTTACTGATAAATCGTCATAGCCAGATGTTGTTTTATTTTTTAAAGAGTGTATAATAGTTATTATTTCGGTATCAGTTACTGGTTCGAAATACAATTTTGTATGCCATATATTTTTTGAAGAGGTGTCTGATGTAGTATTACAAAATTTTGTATGTAACGTTGAGGATTTTGTAAAAAATGAGTTAAAATTATTTGTTATTTTTTTTGGATTGTTAACTATCTTATTGTTAACTTTTAATGACATATTTTCCTGTTCTTTTTGTTTTTTGCCGTTAAAGACTTCCTTGTTAATAATTGACCATGTTGTTTTTGAAATGTTTGATGAACGTTTATTTTTTTTGTTATAATATTCTTTTTTTGTTTTGAAAAGATCAAATTTAAATTTTCTTCGACAAATTTTAAGCTCTTTGCACTCTTTGTCTTGATTTCTTGCACACTTACTTAGCCTAACAATAGTTTCCCTCTCTTCTCTTAACGTAGTATTCATCCAGCAATTCTTTTTGGAGCCTGTTCTAACAGTAATTTGTGGAAAACACTCATTAAAATAATAAAAAAATTTCTGATGAAACTTAGAGTACTTATATTCAATAGGAGACTTGTAAATTTCCATCCAATTCTCATCCTTCAGTTTTGATTTAAACAAATTGATGTTTTCTTGGCCAGGATTTCTACAAGTTTTTACTATGGATTTTTTTTTTTATGATCAAGGGTAATATTCATCTCAAGTACCTGACCATCATGGTCTGACAACCAAGTAATTAAACCATATACACACATCTGTACATCAGTAATATTAGTTAAAAAATTATCAATAGAGGATTTGGAATTTTTAACAACTCTTGTGGGAAAGTCCACCAAATATCTCATGCTGTGGCTTTTTAGTATGTTTGAAAACTGTTTATATGTGTGATTTTTATCCAATACATTTATATTAATGTCCCCAGCTACAATTATATTTTTACAAATTCCTAGGAGCCTGTCAATCACAAAACTAAGTTTATCTAAAAATAGTTTACTGCTTGCGCTTGGGGAACGATTAACTCCTAATAAGTACAAATTGATAATTGTTGGTACAACACTTCACCGCACAACACTCAAAAACCTTCTCCTCACATGTTTCCTGTATTATAGAGGTTGAAATTTTCTTAATTTTTAGATTATTTAAATTATTTTTAGCCATCAATGCCACACCTCCTTTTGTAAAATTGCTTCTACAAAAATAATGTTTAAGATTGTAACCATCAATATTGAATTTTAGAATTTCATAATCCTTCATATTATGCTCTGTTATTACTAATAAGTGTGGATTTATTTCGTCAATAATAATTTCTAATCCATTTTTACGAGATTCCAGATGTTCTATATTTTGAAATATTGTTATTTTGTTTTTGGAGGAGTCAAAGTTTGGTTTAGGTTTGTGGCTTGAGAAGTTCCGAAAATTGTGTTGTGAAGAGCTGTACACATTCTTAGTTAAGGCTATACATTCTTTGGGATTTTTTGTATTATTGGTAAAAAAGAAGAGGAAGGAACAACCATGTTACCTGAAATCACTTATATCATTGTTAAAGAGGGTTAGTTCATTTTAACGGTGTTGGCTGCACTGCACTGTTGCCATGACACCATGTCTACTAGATCGCTGGCTCTGTGGTTGTTTAACGTCATCCATGCTACAGGTTAATCGTGTTCTATTCTGAGGCGTTATTCTCTAATTTGTTTAGTTCTGTCATTAAAATTTACCTATCTGTTAAAATCATCTCAATGCCAATATTTTTACAATATTTTTAATTAATTGGTGAAATCAACAAATTATAAATAATATTGGTGAGTCTGTGGCACCATGGACCCAAGGCAGTGATCGTCGAATTTCACTGGAAACCGCTCCCCTCCTCCCCCAACCTCCCCTTTATATTTTCAATTTTGTAAAATCTTGTCTTCTTGCACATCTACACCATACAGTGATCTTATATGCCAAATTTGATCATTCTAGGTTGTATATATATATTGATAATATAGTGATCATATATCAGTCAGTAGTATAAAGATTATAAACTGAAAGAAACAAAACCATTAACATGTACCCTAATCTTACATAGTTTAAACTCTTACTTGTAGCAGCTTTAACAATTTTTTCAGAGGTCTTGGCCAGTTCCGTGGGGTCAGCTTGCTCATTGACACACCTCGCCACTAGTACTTGCTTCATTTGATGAATTCCCGTCAGTAATCGCTCTGTAAAAAAAAAAAAAACATAATACTATTTTGTCAAGAACTGGTATGTAAACAGAAAAGTAGTGTTAAAAAATGTTACGAATTGAGTTCTTTTCAAAAACCTTTACCATCTCTTGTTTGAAATTACAAACTACATGATTAGTGCTATCCAGCTTTTGGTAGGGATTAATTTTTCAGAAAGGTAGTTCTTCTTGTCTAAGATACCTATCCTTTTTGTCAAGATGTAGATGGACTAAAACTTCAGGTTAGCTATCAACTAAGTAAGCAACCATATGAGCTTTAATAGTCCAAAACACAATACCTTAAAGCAGAGAACTAGTAGTTTGAGTTATTTTTTTTCTACCATACAATAATTTTCATTACGTCATTATACACATTTCAAAGGGAGCATTTCTGAAATCTTAACAAATCTGAAATCATAACATCTAAAATTACAATAATTGTATTAAGCTACCATGGTATGGTTTGTATGGTTGTCAGAGATAAAAACCATTATTACTTTCTACACTTGCTAATATTTTGGATTACCTTAGCATAAAGAATGTATTTTAGCCAATGAAAGCTATTACTCACACACAACATTTCAAAGTGTTGGTTGTAGTAAGAATATTTCTATATAAGAGTAGAATGCTTATTTTTTATAGTGAAAATTTAACAGAGAATCAGATATTATAATATCATATTATGTGATTGAGATATTTTGATAGTTTGATAGAGCTTTTCCAAAACATTGTTAATGTATTTTTGTACCAATGGATGCATTAATGGTTTATGTACATTACAAATGTTTATTTGTATAATCTTTACAATAACTATAAGTTTAACAAACAATTAGTGCCACAACGATATATGGAGGCAAAAAAATAAGGAAAGAAAATGTATAATTTTGTAGCTAGTATAATAATTATTTGTAATTAGGTCTGTGGAATACTCTGCCTTTGCATCTGTTGGGTTGCTATAATCTTTTAATGACGTTAATTGGTTAGGCCTACCACACACGAGAGACTTTTTGTCGACCGACTATTTTGTGTAGTCGGGAGTCAAAGTTGGCCCCATAGTGGTAAATCTGAGCGTGCACACGGGCTGACCGCAGCCAGACAGCCGGCAGACTGTCTGCAGACAGTCAGGGCATTTTGGGACTGACCAATTTTCCTGCTGACTGCTCCTCGACTCAACTGTCGTGTCATATTGATAGAGGCATAGAGACAAGTTTGAACGCGCACACTGACGACTAAAAAGTCTGACAGTCTGACAGAGTTTTGTTGTGTGTGCGCTACGCAGACAGTCCAGTGCGTTTAGGCTGTGACAAGTGTAAGTGTTTTGCGAGACGTAAAAGTTAATAAACTTATTGATGAAGTGGAGGCACGGCCCCCTCTTTATAAAAAGTCTTTGAAGGAGTATTGAGACATAATATAAAAAAAGTGAATAAAAGTGATGGGAAGAGGCATTTGCAGCTGTGGTGGCTAACTGGGGTACCCACCAAACACCGAAAAAGACGAGTGAAGGTAAGCTATAATAACGTAGTTTATTATCAAACACTACTTACAAAGCAATTTACATTAAATCCATGATGCAAGAAAGTCCAAAACTTCTTCGTGTAAAGGTATGAAATCTGATCAGTAATGCACATATGACAGCGGTTTCTGTCATATCCATCCTTTTGACACTCAAAAGATGACTAAACAGTCGTGGCGTGTGCACCACAGTCAACGACCAAACAGTCTTGACGACTTTTCGATTGTCCACCCGACTCCAGCCAGACAGTCGGCCAACAAAAAGTCTCTTGTGTGCGGAAGGCCTTAGTGTAACTGTTTAAACGGAGGTTAAATCAAAAGGAAATACAAATTTGTTCGAATTACATTTTTGAGGATGAAAAAAAGTGTAATGGGAATGAAAATGAGTAATGGATGTGAGAGTGATCATTATGGTGTGTCAGACCAAGGTTGAGGAGTGGGTGGGGGAGGACAGAGCAGTAACCAAACAAAGGGTAGCTTAAAGCATTAAGGTTTAAATAAAATATTACTTTTTAGCGAATTTCCCATATAGGGAATAAGCTATTACCGTAGTACTCATGGTAAGACCTGGACCCGAGACCGATTTAATTTTTCATTTTGAGGTCCCTAGAGACCAAAAACACCATACGTTCAAATTCATATATATATATATATATGTGTCCGTTAGCGCGATAACTCAAGCAAAAATGATCCGATTTTGATGAAATTTGGTACAAACGTGTAAACCTACGTTTATTCGAACGAGTTCGCGATCCAGCATAATCGGACCATGGGAACGGAGGTTTATGGGGGGTTTTATGGGGTAAAAATGGGTTTTTCCCATTTTTGAACTTAAAAACAAAAAATTTTGCGATTTCTTTCTAAACCGTTTTGTAGAGCTTAAAAATAGAAATAATTTAGTATATTGAAGTGCTGTTGTATGCCTAACGGTCACGGAGAAAATTCAAAAATAGTGTAATTAAAAATTCCCATGTTATTCTTATGGAGAAAATGAAAATTGTTGTAGTTTACTTTTTTATGGGTATATATTGATAAAATTTGACAAATTTATTTATTTCATCCTATACTATTGACGTATGGTCAAAAAACACTTTTTACCTTCTCCGTAGCAGCAAACCTAAGCACTCGTTAAATCTAATGTTATTTAAATAGGGAATAATATGTCTTATTTATGGAAATATTTTAGTAAAGATGTAATCAGACGAGTTGAAAGTCTGCAGGTTTGCTGCGGCGGGGGTATTTTATGTATATACAAATTTAACACTTAGAAATAAACATGGAGTAAATTTTTAAAAGAGTTCAACATCAGATTAATATTTTTATCAAAAGATGGGTTTAGTTTAGATAGATAAATATTTTAGGACGTCACTCACCTTTTAGAATTCAGGAGAACACAGTCTTTGTTACCACAGTTTATAACACACACATTTAAAATAAAAATACAAAAAAAATAACAGTCTAGAGTTATCTAACTCCAACGTTTATATTACGTTGATATTGGTGCGGCGATTTCAAGGTACTTTTCTCATGTAAACGTTGAGAGTGTCTAACCACGAACCCACAGTGTGTTTGTGTGTGTTATGAACAGTGTGACAAGGACTGTGTTCTCCTGATTTCAAAAAGGTGAGTGATGCCCAAAAATAGTCATCTATCTGAATATATGACCACACCTAGAAACCATGTCGTTTAAAAATAAAAGATGGGTTTGTCCGATAGAATGATTAACTTTTATATACTTAAAGTTTTGACTTACCGTACAGTTGAACCTCTATAAGACGAATTTCAAGGGGTACGGGAAATATTCGTACAATAGAGGTATTCTTAATAAAGAGGGTCGTTTTATCGAGGTTTAATGCTGCTGTTATTCTTCTTATAGAGGTTTCTCCTTGCTCCAAGGTTTTTCCAAACAATGATTGAAGAAGGAGGAGGGTTGGGTGGGGGTTTCATGTTGAGACAAGCTTCTGTTTGTTTTGAAAACTACGTACTATGGAGGTTAAGATTATGATAAATTCGTCTTATAGAGGTCACGTTCGTCTTGTAGAGGTTTTGTGCTAAGAATATTCGTTGTATAGAGGTTAATCAGTCCTAGCCCATGTCACAAACAAATTCGTCTTATGGAGGTTTTTAACTTAATTACTACGTTGTATAGAGGTGTTTTTAGCATTGACCTATATGAAAGTGTCAAGGAGATTAAAAAAAATTCGTCTTATCGAGGAATTCGTTTTAACGAGGTTCGTACAAACGAGGTTCAACTGTACTATATTTGTTCAGAATTTTATCTATTATATTATTAAAGTGATACAATCAAATTTTATGTAAACGGTTAAGGTCATTTACCAAATAAAAATATAGGCATATTGGCACATCAAAATGAAGCTAAGAGTGTGTAGATTTGCCGAAAAGTATTGATATGGACAAATTTCCTAAGGGCTCTGCCCCACAGGCTGATTTCCAAAGGGCTACGCCTGGCATGCTTCCAATGTTTAAATGATTTAATTTAATTTAGTTAATGAAACAGCTGGTCAGTACAATGAACTGTTGTTTGTTTATTTACTCAAAAAATATGTTTGTGGCACTTTATGTAGATTGAGGAGGGTTATGTTTGGTTTTTAAGTGAGGTTGTATAGTTTTGTAAAGTATTGCTCAAAGTTTCATTTTTTAATTTATATAGTAAGCTACATGTGAAGAAGCTTGACTAAAACTGAAGAATTATGGTAAATCATGTCATTCATAAAGCATCAATATGAAGCAATTAATGCTATTGCTACACTAAGGTATGTTGTCATATTCTTATGGATCTATTAACATCAAAAGTAGGGGTTTGAAAGTAAGTAGGTTTACGCTTTTAAATCAGTTTATATTTTCAAACTAAATCATAGAGTTGCTGTATTTTAAAACACACATCAGCACCACTTTAATAGCTCTCTAGGTCACATTTTCTTCCCGTTGCAAAGCACGGGTATAGCAGCTTGTATTTAAATATTAAATTCTTACTAGAATACATAGGTTTAATTATATTGAATTAGTAATTTAAATTAAGTGGATAAAACAAATTCTGCACTGGTCTTGCTGGTAATGATGGAAAGAGCCAATGTTTATCCTAACGATAATTACTAATTATCCAAAATTGTACTAACTTTAGAGACAAGTATAAAATAATTGGGTGTAAGTAAATTCTTCCAAAGTGAGGTGTTTATCTGACCATCCAACTGAGATTATACACAAGTACAATTGCATTTAAATTAATGAAAATGCACTGTTTATATTTACATTAGACTTGCAACGCACCATAAAGCTTTCTATAGATCTATTTATTAACTTAGGCCTACAAAATTCCTTTGGCTAATTAATTTAGCCCACATTGAACTCAAAGTAATTTCTTAACTCAAGCCTGATAATTTTTTTAATTTTTTTTCCCGGTCAAGATGGCGGGTCGTGCAGTTCGTTATCCCTGTGGCGTCTTAGATAAAACAGTGAACAAAGGAA